TTGTTTCTTTGATCTTATTATTAGTTAATATATTGCATATAGCTATTCGCAAAAGCGTTACATTATTGGTTCATCACTGTCTAGTTACACTAGCTAACTATGTGTATGTGTCTATTGGATACAACTTTATTATATAATGACTAGATTCTCATAAGGTGCAAATTCTACTCGGGTAGAATTTGGCCTGTTCATAGCCGGCACATCTTGTTCGATTTTTGCCGTAAATTTGCCATCACGCCTTGCTCGGCACGTCTTGCTCGCTGTTTGCTGCAAATTTGTCGTCACACGTTGCTCGACACGTCTTGTTCGGTTTTTGCAACACTCTGCCCGCAAATAATTTTGGCATGCTTTACCGATATAATGCCAGCATAATGGTAGTATACATGCTGCAAATTTGCTGCAATCTTATGATTGATTTTGCCAGCAATTTGTCGGCATATTGCTGACATTTTGTTATCAGAGTAATATAATAATATAATATGAGTAAATTTAATGAGACGTACGTTAACCGTGAAAGGTGAATTCTCAAAACGTGAAATATTTCACGTGAACTTTCAGTTTGCTCATATATGTTCTTCTTTACATGTAAATTGTGTAAGTTTCCATGAAAATTTTTAAGCATTAAGTGGTTTAAATGTGAAAAATAATATAATACTACACTCGCATATTATGTACAAAGTGAGTAGAATTTCTTATAATGACTTTAATTTTTATGGTTATACGACAATTGGCATTTGACGTAAGAATCCTACGTCCATTAAAAATGAACAACGAAAGCCGATTAAAGCGTGATGACGTATAGGCAGTGAAAGCATACTGACGAAGTTTGCAAAATTAAGATACATATGCATCAGAAAGTGTAATATATTATAAATTATATGCAATAAGTAAAATATAAGTTTATTTTATGTATTTATTGCAAGTATTTTATGTATTATTTTATATGAAATATATATTTTCTGCAGATTTATAATTTTAATATGAATAGAATATTTTATCTTTTAATAATTTATCCTAAAGTAATCCCAGACAAGCAGACTTCCAAGGGACGTTCTAAAGACATCACTATGTCTTAAAAACATATATACATATATATATATTCTGAATCTTCTTTTATCTATAAAAGTGCCTCTGAAAGAGGCTTAGGAGCCACCTGATTGGCTAAGAAGCTACGTTTATCGATAGGCTACTTTTATCGATAAAAGAGGCTTTAGAATATAGGCCTTTGTCTATGCAGAAAGAGACAGAGAACAGAGGAGCTGTACATATTGGCTTCTCTTTTCTGACTGTATGCGGAGTCTATGTATATTATGTCTATGGTCTCTTGCATGTTGGCTTCACTTTTTTGGCCGTATGGGGGTCCATGTATATTACGTCCATGGTTAAGCCAATCAAATCGTCCCATTGCGTAACTTTACGCCGAATAAAATGGGACGATTTGATTGACTTAACTCGCGCGACGCGTGACGCGCTAAGTGGGAACTCAGCCTTAAGTCTCGATCTACAATAGATGTAATAAGTTTTAAGCTTTAAGAAATTGACCAATCATAGTCGAGTTATAGAAAAATAATTATAGAAGAATAATCAATCGTGATTGGTTAATTTCTTACGGCTTAAAGTTTACTACAGTATTGTAGATCGGGACTAAAACAAGGTTGTGGATAAGGGCTTATATCCATTGTAGATGGTTATTAACGAGTCTAATAAACCAAAAACACTTGTGTGTGTGTTTCAGAGTTATTTATATTTACAAAATTTGTTGAATTTATCATTGGGCACGTTTAGCAGATAAAAGCGCTCTATGAGCACTCGATGTTTATTGGTTTATTCTGTTGGTTCTCTATATTTAGACCAATTACGTTTACGAATCACTCAACAGTTGTTCAACTGTTATGTCTACTGAACGCGCCCATTGGCTTGGTTTATATCGTGCACTTGATACACGTACTAAATAGTAACTTTCTATTAGATAATCTTAATATCGACAATGCATATCAACGGCGATGCATTCAATCAATACAACGGCGATGCACTCAATACGTTTTGTTGATGAGTATTATACCAGCTTAATATACCGTTGTTTTTATATATCGTCGATATTAAGATTATCTAAAGAAAGTTACTATTTAGTACGTGTATCAAGTGGGTGTATATCAGTTGGACACGGGGCAATTGGACACAGTTCAATCACAAGTCGCTGTTCCAAGGGACCCTACAAATGTCTCTAATCATACGGTGCTGTGATTGGCTGTGTCCAAATGCACCGTGTCCAAGTGCACCGCTCCCTATCAAGTGCACGATGTAACCAAGCCAATATCTCAGTTGATCGATGTGTACGGTGGCGACACATAAAGGCCGGTTTATAATGGCCGTAATCCGTTAACTAAAAATTTTGACATTTAACGGATTTATATTCATATGATATTGCAAAACGAAATTAAATCTTATATTTAATAATACATATGAAAACTAAATACCTACAAAATTGATTTTTCAAATCATTTTCTTATCTTTGTTCCAAAGTTACAGCTCGTTGAAGTTGGCTTGTTTTTTTGGGATAATTCTTCAATTTTTGTATGTATGTACATACATACCCTGACAGCACCGGACGTGGCGAGCACGTCGCTACGACGTAATAACGTCGTAGTAACGTTTGTGCAGACAGGGTAGTATATTTTTCATAGAACTGTCTGGTAATTAATTGCATGAAACGTATGAGATGTTAATTTTTTAATTAATTTGAGATATATCCATAAAATTGTTTTCCATATTGCTGATCATCTATTAATTTGAATCGAGTTATTTCTGCCACGCGTTAATATGGACTGTATGATTCCAACGTACAACAAAATGTAAAATGTCGTATCTTGGCGAAATGCATATCCTGTTGAAAGATTTCGTACGTGATTAATGGTAATCTTTAGCGGAAAATCAGATTGATTTTGTACAAAATATAAAAGTCTTTCGACGTCCTTTGTGCTGCACGTTAATGGCAAGCACAATCCAAGCGTGATGTTGCGAGTCTGGTAAATAAATGTTTTATATTAGAGCGCGATTCATTTTGAATGAATAAAGTCAAAAATTTACATTGATTACCCCGTTTACTCCTAATTGCAGAATATCAAGGGCAAGATTGATGGAGTTCATACTGACGCGAAAGGGCGGTAATTGTTTACTTCGCTGGAGTCTCTCATCCTGTTTCGTGAATTCGTTCTCCATTTGGCGACATTGGTCCACGTCTCCGAGCCAATATATATTACCGGAAAATGTGCCCCAAATGTGTTTGCCATCCGCATCCATCACTGAAAGCGAAAGCCTTGATTTTTACGAACAATATAATATAATTTTATGCACAATACAATTATAAAAAAATACAATGCGTGGACGATACAATTTATTCAGTACACAGCATATGATATAATTAAATGTATCATATAAAATATATTGACGTATATTAAATAAGAATTAAATAAGAATTAAATAATTTTAAATAAAAATTACATTTATGTCAAAGTAGACGATTTAAAATATTAGAGAAAAAGGAAAGAGACACACAAAGGAAGAAGAACACAACAGGCAATCAATTGACTTCCCTGCGAAAGTACTCATCATAGAGTTGAAAACACTGAACCGTTACACATATGCGTATAATGATATAAGGATATAATTAACTTGAACGAATGATATGCTTGAGATACGCTAGATACTTTCGAAGAAAGTTTTCCTCTCGTTGCATAATTTATGTAACATTAGTCGCTGTTACGTTCGATCCATAATTTGGATGTACCGCGATTACATCACGAAATAAGTGACTTTCAACATTTCTACAGTTTCGCCCGGTTCTATTAAAAAAACTGGCTCTCATTATCTTTTGTAAAAACATGACACGAACGATGTTATGTTATGTTACACTAAACACTAACGAGATGGGTGAATTGCAAGGAAATGTAATGCGAAGATGTAATAGTTACTATTATATGTGCATGTAACATGAAATCAAAACGAATGCGCACAATAAAGGAATTCTCCTAAAATTGAAATTCACAAATTATGCGTAAACACGTAATTAGTAATTTCATAGTGCTGACAATTGACGAGAGTCCAAAACGAATATTGACGCAGCGACGAAGGTGACATTTATTTACATACGATGCGTTTACCCGAAACAGTCAACAACTTTCTGCACTTGAGTAATATTCATCGAGAATTTCCTGGTGTCAAGAAACCGCGACGTTGATACATGACTTTAATGCTGATCGGTATTCCCGACATATTAGAAAGTACAATTGATGTCGGAAATGTCCGGTTTTTTTTGTGACTTTCGGAACGCATCTATCTGTTGTCCGATGGGAAAATGTTCTTATTGACCAACATATTTTTCTATTGGACAAGACGGATGCATTTCACAAAAAACAAAAGAACAACTTTCCCGATTGTATGTATATGTTGTGCGTAAAATATTTTCTCTTATGGGATAAAAGGTACTAGAAAGCACATTGTGTGTCACATGAAAGGCTATTATACAACGAACAAATTAGACACGCTTCTTACTTTTAATATAACTATCAATTTTCGACGATATCAATCACCAATTAACTGCTACCTTCCGATCACACGTTCCTTTGGTCTCACATAATTCATGTTTTATAGAGGAAAAGATCCATGTCTGGAAGTGAATCTTCGCAGATGAATTATATCAAATAGTCGCAAACCGCTGTTAAATTGCTGTTAAACCGGCCGGTATATTTTAGACCAGAAAACAAATCGCGCTGTCTCACATAGTAAAACACTTGATACATTTTTTAATATTCGATCATTCTGTCATTTGGAAGAGCTTGGCCAGTTATTATAATTTTAACTGACGAAACATTTTAAATCGTCACAAACTATTGTTACATCACTTACTTCTCAAAGCCCAATTCGCCCTTTTCGATAGACCCATCGAGTAACGAGTCAAGTCCTCGCCGCAGAATAACGAAATGCCTGCATCTTGGTACGTGTCGTTCTTCCAGATACGCGAAACGACAATTGGATCCCAGATTTTTAGAGCTCGATCGAAATCCCGATGTTCGCCATCGGCTTTCTCGGTACTGTTGTATACACTCGTGGTTCTCGACGAGGATTCTGATTCGTCTTTGTCACGGATCAACTGCTCCGTAAAATTCTTCTCAACATTAATAACAGTGTCCTCCGGAACCGGAAGATTTTGCAAAGTTAGCGCGGCTTCATTTGCGCACAAACAAATCGAAAATCGATGCAATAGCGACAAGTACAAAATAAACTTGGACCATGCCATTTTTATAAAAGCAAACGTTTCCTGTCGAAAAAGCATCTATCACATTCAATAGTCTATAACTATTCTTAGAATAGCTCTTAAAATCGTCTTGCTAACATTTAAGAATACTTCAAGAGTACAAGATCATTTATATCAAACTAAAATAAAAACTAAAATAAGATAATGAGGACAGAAATTTTAACGAGATATCTTCGTAACTTTTTAAGCTCCGTGAAACATGACCGGGAATGACCGAATACGTTGCTTGTAAAGATACTATGCGTGTGCAAACGAGTGATGTTCAGATATATCCTAGCTGCCGTCTCCCACTTTTAAGCCCACATCGATTTCACGAGTGTATCCTTTCTTTAGAGGGTAATAAACTGTTATCGCATTAATACGCGACTACCGTATATGCAGCGCAGAAACTGACATGATTAATTAAGAGTATGGCTAGACAGCCATAAATCTCGGATTCACATGATAACTTTCCAACTAATTCTCTCCTAAGCATATTAACCTAAAAATGTTTAATTTTCTTATTAGTAAACGTAATAATTCAACGAGAATCGTTTAAAACTATAAGTTATTTTTATTTATTATATTATACATATAAAAAACCAGTATATATTTTTCTAAAAAATATAAACAATATTAAAAAATATTTCTATTAAATATAATTATTAAATGTTGTGTAAATTTTAAAAAATGTTTACATGGAAATATATATGAAACTTTTTTTTTCTCTATAATCATATATAATTATATGTAACATACATGTAAACTATATACGTCTGTATGAAATAAATGCTGTTGCACATAATTTATAATTTCTATAAAATTTACATATAACCCTTCTTGTATGTGCGTTCTTAGTAAGCAAATAAAAGTACACAGTTGGTATATTGTCATTGTACATATGTAGCAAGTTATATACTTTAATTTCTTTTATTTGTATAAAACTTGCAAAACACATGTAACATTCAACATGTTACTTTGTTAACGATAAAATATCAACTTCTTTAATATTAAAAAAAATTAGTTGAGCAATACAACACAGATATAAGTTATTCAATTTTTTACACGACTCCAGCAAGGATCACACATTGTATCAAAAGTTTACAACTGATTTCAGGAATTGTTCTTTGTGTAAGTTAAAATATTATTTCTCTATTTTACAATAATTATACTCAATGTTTACTGGGTACAGCTTCTTAAAAAAAAAAAAAAAAAAAAAAAAAAAAAAA